GCGTTCTGTCTCCCGAGTTAAGTGGTATAATAAGGTGAGCAATATTGACGTTAGGCTTCAATCGAGTCCTAGGTAAAGAGGGGAAATCAATCGATGAGGTTGTGAAGTTATATCGATTAAGATGATTGGGACATATGTGACATGCATCCCCAGCCATAGCCTTCCTCGACGGGCAATGTAAGCTGACATAAGGTCAGGTTGAAAAAGAGCCAGTGGTGGTCAAACGAAATTATGGCACCAGTCAATCAAATCCACAACAGTTAGTTTAAGCCACGCAGGAAGGTGTAGACTTCATAGTTGGGATCATCGGGATGGTAAACACCGATGGCTGGAAACAACTAGTGATATGGCTCAAAATCGTTCTCAGTGGCTGGCTCAGATGCATCCACTCCTTGCGACTTATAATTTCTAATGAAACTATATTGTCCTTCGTTATTACTGCTCCTTTTATCTCATATCCCCGTCTACTATCTCCATTATGCATTTCTTCCACTTTCTTCTCTTGCTTGTGAGCTACATGGAGTGTGGCGACTTGAACTGCTGCATAGAACTGTGCAAAGTTCTATGATGAAAATAGACAGACAGACATGCAATTCCATATTAATTTGTTTATTAGATATATCACACAGTGATGAAACAGTATTACTGTTTACTGGATGACAAGGTTTCGAACACAATCTAGTATTGTTCATAAGCATTTCATCAATTATAATCGCACACTTTCGAAACTTGAGTTTTATAGTTTTCTTTATTCTCTCCTATTCGTTGTCGTAGGGGTAGTAGAATTTTTCAGATATCTGTGTGGACAGGTGCTGAATCATTCCTATTACACATACTCCCCTCAGTTGATTCGATAAATAAAGCTTCAGTTCTCAATCTCTCCTTCTACCCTGTTGCATTAGATTTTAAAACTGTCAACTTATCCGATTCTATTGTATGGTTGTGTGTAATTGCATGTAGTGAGTGGTATAGCTCAAGTATTCTCCAGAGCAAAAAAGTCCTAGCAAAATCTAGATTAATTGACCCGAATAATAAGATAAGAAATCTGGAGAATAGTTAGTTCAGCTATACCACTCACTAAATGCAATTACACACAACCATACAATAGGACGGATGGGTTAAGATGATAGTTTTAAAACCCAATGTAACACCAGGGTGGAGGGAGAGATTGATAACCGGAGCTTTATTTACCGAATCAACTGCAAACACGTGTAATAGGAATGATTCAGCACCTGTACACCCAGATATTTGAAAAACCCTACTACCCCTACCACAACAAATAGGAAAGAATAAAGAAAACTATAAAACTCAAGTTTCGAAGTTGTGTGATTATAATTGATGAAATGATTATGAACAATCATAAATTGCGTTCAAAACTTTGTCATCCAGTAAACAGTAATACTGTTTCCCACTGTGTGTGTGTGTGTGATATATCTAATAAACAAATTAGTATGGAATCTCTTAAATTCCATTTTTCTACCTTTAAGTGCAATGTGGAGTGTGGCAAGTGGAACTGCTGTACTTCTGTGAGAAGTTCTATGTTGAAACTTGATCAGGCAGTCAGTCAGTCAATCAACTAGCTTTTACTACGCTATAGGCCGTGCACTATATATACATATATATATATATATATATATATATATATATATATATATAGAAAGAGAGAGCCTTAATAATAATAGCACTGACAGACAAGATAATAACTACCGTAAGAATCAAATCGATAATATATCGTGTAACAATGTGTAGAATTCATATGATGAACCAGAAGTCACATCTTGTATAGCATACTATAGTATAGCATAATTTGACCTATTGTTTAGAAAATGAAGTGATTAAATCGGTCAAATCGATATGGCCATTTACAAGTGAACTAGAAAACGAGTAGATACAAAGATAACACTAATCTTTCTTATGTATATATATATGGAAATTATATGAAATTCGACTCAGGGAAATCGATACGTAATTGACAGGTAACAAGTTGAACAGTTTCTCTCACTATTGTTCTTGTCATTTTATTTTAATAGTTGTGTATACGATAAAGACGACAATGTACTCTAGCTTCTTTAGAAACACTACGTGTGTACTGCTCAGCAGTTTGCTCCGTCCTTCTCTGTGGCTGGCTCTGAAACATGGCCAATACGAGTTGAAGACATGAAAAGGTTGACTGTTTGTGATTATAGATGTCTACGATCTCTTTCTCACGTTAGGTGGTATGATAAGGTAAGTAATGTTGACGTTAGGCGTAGAGTGTTGGGCAAAGAGGGAAAATCAATCGACGAGGCTATAAAGTTAAATAGATTGAGTTGGTTAGGCCACGTACTGCGCATACCTAACCATCGTCTCCCCCGACGGGCATTACTAGCTGATATATGTGCAGGTTGGAAAAGAGTAAGTGGTGGCCAAACAAAAACATGCCATCAGTCCATGAAATCCTTGACAGTTAAACTGAGTCAGGTAGGGAGATGTAGACTTCCGGGTTGGGGCCCGCCCTCGGGACTCTAAGAATCAATGGCTGGAGACAAAAGGTGACATGGCTCAAAATCGTTGTCAATGGCGCAAATGTATTCAGTCCCTGTAATCTTTCATATTCCTTTCTACCATTACTCATTCTGCTTCACTCTTACATTTGTCAAAACTCTATTGATTCTCTTCACTCATCTTCTTGTCTACCTTTGTGTGCTATTTGGAACGTGGCAACTCGAACTGCTGCACTTCGGTGACAAGATCTATGTTGAATCAGACAGACAGACTAAATCACCTTCGGTGATTAGAAGCGATAGCTCACTAGTGTAGACTCATGACTCTCAATAACTGGGTTTCGCCCAAAATCCATCCTCACCCATCAAAGTTTGGAGAAACACATACTATCATACAACTACCACATAACGCCGCCAATTTTATGTTATTGGAATTTGATACCACTGACTTATATTTTAATCTAATTTATTCATGTGGTAATCGAATGAAACTCTCACAATACGGATACAATTGAATATCTAACTGTTAAGTGTGTGAAGCTATGCTCTAGTCACTTACACTAATCTCAAGCGAGTATTATTATTGACTTGTAATCAGGGAATAATAGTCTCATCGACTTAGAATATGCAGATGATATAGTCCCCCTCCTAAGTGAAGACACTGACAAAATACAGTCTTCTGAATAGCTTGAGCAGCAGTCTTCCGATGTTAGGCATGCGATTCACCCCTGTCAATCAAATATAAGATGGTGCCACAGCACTAAACTACATCGACTCCTAGATAAGAAATAGAGAGCGAAATGGTAGAATGTGTTGACCATTTCATTTATTTCAGGAATCGCATTAGCCGCAACGGGTTGATCGCTGACGAAGTCTCAGTACGACTACAGAAGGCTCGTTTGGCATTTTCCAACTTACGCCACCTCTGGCGTAGACGTGGTATCCGGCTGCCTGTCGACCAAAGGACGTGTGTACTGCTCAGCAGTCCGCTCCGTCCTCCTTTATGGCTGTGACACATGGCCATTCAAAGTGGAAGACATGAAAATGCTCGCTAGCTGTTTCTGATCATAGGTGCCTGTGTGCTATCTCCGGTGTTAAGTAGTATAATAAGGTGAGCAATATTGACGTTAGGCTTCATTTGAGGGCTAGGTAAGGAGGGAAAATCAATCGACGAGGCTGCGAAGTTACATCGGCTGAGATGGTTAATACATGTTTTACATATGCCTAATCATCGCCTTCCTCAACGGAAAAGCGCTAGCTGACATAGAATGGATCAGGTTGGAAAAGAACCAGTGGTGGTCAAAACAAAAACACAGCTTCATTACTCAGTGAAATCCATAGGGAGGTGTAGACTTCCTGATTTGACTTCTCAGGATGGTAAAAATTAATGCCCAGAGACAATTGACGATGATATGGCTCAAAATCGTTCTCAATGGCTGGCACAGATGCATTCACTCTTTGTGATTTATCATATCTAGTAAAACTCTATTGTTCATGCATTTTACTATTTTTTTGCCTCACTCACACTTCTGTTTATTATCTCTCTTTTTTGAATTGCTCTTTTACTCTCTTCTGTTGCTTTGTGTGCAACATGGAGGGAGTGTGATAACTCGAACTGGCGCACATCTGTGCGGAGCTCTACGATGAACCCAGTCCATCAGTCAGCATTATTATTATTATTGGAATACAAAGTTGGTACATTACTAGCACCAATAGATACGCCACACAAAACCTCATAGTTTCTATGAGGGCCATGATGCTGTCCAGACGCCCAGACTGAAGCAAACGGTCGTGTCAGTGGATCATTTGAAACCTGATTCCTGACTAACTGACTGGTTTTAACATAGAACTTTGCACCGATGTGCAGCAGTTCAAGTCGCCACACTCCATGCAGCGCACAAAGCCAGAGAAGAAAAAAGTAGAAGAAATGCATAATGGAGATAGTAGATGGGGATATGAGACAAAGGAATAGTAATAACGTAGAACAATATAGTTTTATTGGAAATTATAAGTCACAAGGAGTGGATGCATCTGAGCCAGCTATTGAGAACGATTTTGAGCCATATCACCAATTGTCTCCAGCCATTGGTGCTTACCGTCCCGAGGACCCCAACCAGGAACCTGATCCATAAGGTAGTGGAGCACCGTCAGCAGCCTCATCCCCATGGTTCCCAGTGACTAAAACAGGTTCATACACAATTGGGTTCGTTTAGATACCGGGGCTTATGTACACCACATAATGTTTGGAGAAACAGGGTTTTCCAGCTCCCCCTAGATAGGTTAACGTGCATGTCTACTATTCAACTTGAAAAAGGCTTTGCTAATCAATTAGAGTAATTAGTTTTTGCCTAGTAGATATAGTCTACAGGCAACCACCTACAGTTGAATGATAATTTGTAATTACTTCTCTACTAATACTTCCATTTTCCAATGTGAATACTAATCGGTGAGTTGTTAATTAAAACAAAAACAAAACAAAGAAGAAAGGAATACACATACGTCTACGTATTTATTTACCTTCTCTGAGGCTCGACCATTCCTGTACATACGATTCCATAAGGAATCGACTTCTTCCCACTTATGAATCATTTTAAGCCATTTATCAACACGACGAATATCATTTTTACGATACTAAAAGGTAAAACAGTGAATACAAATATCAGGGTATGACTTATTAACAAAGAAAGTGTTCACAAAAGGACTGGTACTTTACACTGCAATCAAAAACAGTTATCCTGCTTCTAAAGTAACAGTTGGAATACAGTATTTTTAAAAAATCAAGTGTTTAGAATTCCATGGTAAAGAAATACAGACAGTATTCATTTTGAAACTGGCATCCGATGGAATGATGCAAGCATAAATGAGTACATCGATTAGTCATCACATGATTAATGATTGACCAAAATCCATCGGTCAGTTATGCAACTTGATGATTAAGCTAACTTATAAAGTATAATGAGCTAATCGGTATGAAGCCCATAAGTAACTGAATAGTAGAATGCTTGCCAACGCTAAAGGAAGTCCAGGTTCAATTCCTGACTGACGCACTCTTAAACCTCCCCTAGTTCAATACCCATTAATAAGCTTGGCAACGAGAGAATGAGGGACATCAGGCTAGCAACCCCGCTTCGTAGCAACTACACCACCGTTACTGAAACCTCACAGCTTGAAACCCTACGTTACACTTCGAACACAAAGTAGTAAAGAAGGTGAAGAGCCCGAACTGATTGTAGCTTCATTCCTGGGGACAACTATTGAAAAGGCTTACCTACAACCTTAAGTAGATCAAAGTTTTCCATGGGTTTTTTTCCTGAATCAGAGAGTTTTCCACTACACTAATTAGTTTAGTGCTAATAAATTACAACCAACGCTTTGGAATAAGTCACTACACCGCTAACCCATTTGACTCTATCAGCCAATGCTAAAGAGAGGAACAGGTGCAGAGGAGTGAGGGGGTAAAAAAGAAACACCTACTGGTATTCGTTTATGTGAAATGAAAGCAAGACCAAGATGCAACTAATACTGGTTGAGACTATAAGTGGTAGTTAAAAACCAGAAAGATAATATGACGTGGTATCTAGACTACCACCAGACGGTCGGTGTGTACTAATGTATGCCGACTTAGCACAACTATGATTTTTATCTCAACTACCTTATATCATAGACTAACGGCCGTGAAATTGTTTCAGTAAGTCTTCGCATTGGCATTATTTCAACTGGGAATATACTATTCACAGAAAAAAGACATACAATGTGTTACTGTTTAAGACGAGTGAAATAACAATGGTAGACTTGATTCATTTGCAGTCATACTATGACAATGAACTGAACCAGACAACAGATCATATGTACATGCTTCTTGCAATAATTTACACACACATAAAATACGCTAGCTGTCAGGGAAAGGGAGTTATAATCAATTTCAAAAATCCAAGGTATTACTGAACACTAAATACGTAAACATATTTTAGGAAACTTCTACAGAGTAGATAAGAAAGCTTGTTTTAAAAACTATGAGAAATAACATAGGCTTGACTACACTCAACTATATGGAACAGAATATGTTTTACGAATCACTCACTTTATCTTCAACAATCCTCTCTTTTTTTGTCAAACCATTGGGACTAAAAAGAAAACAAAACAAAACAAAAAGTTACCAATGTGATACCTACTAAAATATGTTCCAGCAAAAAAGTGAGAGTGCATCGCGAAACAATTTTATCGATGCAAGTGAGGGGGAAACTCTAAGCACTATCCTACATGGATTAAAATCAGCTACGGTAACTGACGCTAGATGACTGTTTTCACCGAAAACGCAAGAATAAAATTGGGGTCGAAAAGCCTTAGAAAAGTCAGCAAAGTATAATATTGTCTTTCCAAATGACAATAAGACAACACGATCACTATTCAATATCCTCTCAAGACTTCAAGAATCTATATGGATCTTTCCACAGTTTTCAGGAGAAATCTCACGGTTAAATGAGATTCACAATGCAGGCATGCTGAATTGTGTGTTCTCCGAATAATCCTATTACTTCTTAATACTTGACCAAAAGACATATAAAGATTACCTGATATTAACAAATGAATCTTTTAGAAGTAGATTGAAAATCCCCATTGAGTCATATGAAAAAGAGAAGACATTCAGCGAAGAGACTCTTTTCGGCGAATTCATTCACATAGCTGTACAATAGCATTTATATATAAATATTTGTGTGTGTGTGTACATGAGGTTTGTCAAGTTTAGATAATTGATTAGTTAATACAAGAATGATGTAGTATAGAGACAAAGTTAATCAGACAGCAACTAAAGTAAGACTGAGTTAAAAAAAACTAGATGACGTAATATAATTGGCTAAAATTTTACAACTTAGGTCAGGGTAGCAACAGAGGTAATTACAGGTAGAGATTAAGTAGAAGTGAAATTGAGTGAATAAGTTGGATGACGTAACATGAATGACTAGAAACTGAGCGTTGTTCAAGTCAGTAACAGTGGTAGTGGGGTGTAGAGATTGAATCGGGTGGGGGTAGAGAACAAGAAAGTTGAAAATGTAAAATGTTACAATTGAGAAGACAAAATAATACTAATGAAGAGACAGAAGAAAAGATTAGGTAGAATTTACATGTCGGCTAATAAGATAGATTACGTCCATTGCAAGTGTAGTGATTGAACGAACTTCTTCTGTATACAGAGTTCAGGACTTAGCAAGTGAATCGCCATTGCTTCTGCAGTTTGAAGAAGTCTGATTCGTACACCTTTAGGGAGACTACTTCTTACTCTGTAGACGACTTTGAAGTTTGTTTGCGGTGTAACTTGGTGTCCGGATTCTATCAGATGTTCTAATATGGAACTGCAGGGGCATCGATTTTCTCCTTTGTAAAACCATGCTGGTAAGTGCTCGGTGATACGTTTGGAAAGCGAGCGCTGGGTACGGCCGACATACCTGGCTCCACACGAGCAGGTGAATTGATAAATGCACATTGATGAGGTCAGCAGCGGTAGCTTATCCTTCACGTTCACATGAATCATAGGTTTTGTGGAGAAGGTTAGTCGTAGTTCAGCTGCGAAGAAGGTCTTCTTAAGTGAGCGCGACAGTCGATTTTTTAGTGTTTCCGCAGATAAATCTCCATTGAATTGGAGGTTCATGTAGAGTAGTTTTTTCTTGACGCTAAGTATGGGCGGCTTTTCTGGTATAGGATTCATAGATTTTGCAATAAATCTTTCTGGATAGCAATTCTCGACGAGGATTCTCTTGAGGTTGTCCAGTTCATCTCCTATGGTGTCCGGGGTGCAAATTCTGTAGCTGAGTGAACGGATCAGGTTTCGTTTGGTGTATAGTGGTACCCAACTGTGAAAGTTAGCAAGCTGTCCGTTCTTTTAGAAGCTTACTTGATCATCTTTACAGAATATTTGGGAAACGATATATGACTAAAGCATCCCTATCAGCAAAAATATACCGCTCTCATTTATTTACACACCCCAGTGACACAGTACTATTTTTTTAATTTAATTCAATATTAAGAACAGTTTACTGACAGAAGGTGTTATCTAAAAAATCTTATTCCCTTTCAGTTGCCTATCTGCTAGTCCAAAGTGAAGCAGATGGGCTGGAAATAAAACACAAGCACAGCCGTCAGAAAGTGAGGAGTTGTAACCGATGAGTCACATAACTACAGTACAAAAAAAAACACAATCAAAACAACATTCCAGCAGATTCAGTTCAGTTAGAATTTCAAAAGCGATAAAAGACTATGTCCGAAACTCACATTCCCCTAAACGATTTTCATCAGCAGTACAAGAATTCGCAGATGTCTTTTCCTAGTTTACCCAACCCTAAGTTTTCGTGTGATCCAATCCTGTCATCGGCTGATTTATCGTCTTCTAGATGCAGTCTCAAAACTGGTCATCACATTGCAGCAAAAAACGATACCACGGAAACACCCTGTGGCATTCAGTTTTTTTTTTCACAGCTAACAAGTATGTCTTACAGCCATAGAAAAAAGAAACAGAATGCCACACATGCGCACTTTCGACAGATAAGTATGCAGATGCTTTACGAAGAAACATAAAATACCAAGGTGGAGCTTCGTTCAAAACTCTATCAGTTCAAGTTGTTATACTATGGAAAAGTAAACACAAAAATGTGATAATTCAGTAAATAAACATAAATATGGACGGGGGGGGGCTGGTGGACTTAAGTTCAAAAACAATAAGAAGTAAATATATTTGCTCCACTGTGGACTATTTTTTAGAAGTTCGTCAGTTTTTCAGTAATTAGTACTTAACATTTTAAGGACTATAGCCAGGAAACCCAAATCTCTTTTTACGGTTTAGACCGATAGTCGATAACTTCATGGATGGTTGTCGTGCATTGGTTCAACTACCTCTAACTTTTTTAACCATGTCGTACTTCAGCTTACATTCCTTACTGAGAAAGGTAGATGCTTGATTTGGATTTCCCAGTCGCATTAAAAAAAACGAAGATGCAGCACCTCTTTAACTAACTTGCCTTCCTTACTTCGAACTTTACGCTTAATCTCAGTGTTGTTTACCATGTTTTTTCCATCTAACGTCAGTAAGAAAACAAAGGCGTATACGCTAAAACGAAAACCTTGCAGCCCTTCCAAAATAACTACTTTCAGCATTACAGTCTCATAGCTGTAAGGTGAGACGCTCAGATACTTCACTCTTTATTCTCAAAGCAAGCATTAGCCCGGAATAGTCCAACAGATGACAGATATCATGTACATACAAACCTCCATCAATATATTGCATATAATTTCTCTTATTCCGTTTGTTTAAATCTAGTAAGGTGTTTTCCCTAATGGTATTTTTTCACTCTGTCGATGACAGCTTATCCCAGTACTTGAGGTCGCCGTTCCTGAGTGGTGATCTTGGTTCACCGAAAATATACTCCTGAACCTTTTATAATTGGTATTCAACAAAATTTCTCTCGAAGGAGAAAAAGGGGAATTTATAATGGATTGAGTTGAGCTTCAGGTCAGATACCACTATGTTACACGACCTCCTGTCAATCAATCTTTTATTTAAAGATTCTGCAGGAATAGAAGATATCATGCAATAAACTCCGCGGAAAATTCTGCACATTATGTAAATATTGTTCATTATAAAGCTATTACTATTATTGTGATATCCAGTTATAAAGTTTCTCATGGCTAAGCAAAGGATAAGATTTTAATGGCCCTGTCTACAATCACAAATACGAAAGATCCATTACGCGAACTATGAGTTGAAAATTAACTTGGATAACAATTCAATTACTTTCTCAGTATTTCAACTGTCTTATTAACTTTTCCTATCATCTTTAATGAATACAATCCTCATAGATTAATCATAACAATTGGATTACTCAGCATATGTATCACTTCTTTAGCCGCGTGAACAGTGAATGAAAGTAAATATGACTGCTTTTCAATAACAATTCACTCTTTTAAATTAACTTATCTTCCCTCGTGTCATACAGGATGCATAAATGCTTGCAAATTACTCACTTTTCTAGCAGGTATCAAAGAACGTTATTTTAAGTGAGAGATTTACACAATTTGACTTATAATGGTTAAATACTCATGCAATGAACAAATGATTACTAACTATTCACAGTGAAACGAGTTTATCTGTTGAAATTGCTTTATAACACTGCATATTCATATTCATTTGACATACAGCAACAATAGTGCTGAATTATGGCTAACATCCGAAAAAATATATAAAGATGACAATAAAGTATCTCAAGGATGAAAAAACCTAGGTGGCTGCTACTACTGTCATGTGCAACTGACAATGGCAAATGATTGACTATACATAAACTGAAATTTCGCTAATATCGTTTCAAAGTAACTACACAATTTTTGGAAATAATGTACCAGTGTGTGTGTGTGTGTGTGTTGGGGCCCTCCGTAAATTTGCTTTGATATGATTTAATATTGTCTTACTGATATACAAATATTTATTGTCTAGAGTTTTCATGAAATAAATTCCTTTAAATGTTTAACTGATGGATTTGAACATATTCCCGTTTAGTTTTCTATGAGACAATTACTAAATGTTTCGAAAAATATCGGACCACGGTGGTGGGTAAAAGATGATATTTAGGCATACTTTTCTTAGGTTAGATTGGCTCATCGACTTAGACATTCACACTTTTGCCTCAACTTACATATCATCTATTTGTCAGAATGACGAAGTACTATCATAAGTCCTTTTTTAAAAGACAAAAACATATACCACCCTTATTTGATACACCATTGAACTGCATTATCTGACCGTTTATTATTCAAGATTAAGAATAGAAATCGGTTCGCCAAATCCACAGGGATGACTAAAACGCTGATTCCTCCAGAGATTTTCAAAGTTTAACCATATTCCATATTTAAACTTTGTCAATAACTATAAAAGTCGGAACACGAAAGCCAAACAACTCACATTTCTAATATGAACTAAAAATATGCAAAAGACTTCCGAAACTTTCCACAACATATAGGTGAACTGTTTCGGTATTTATTACATACTGGCACATGATTTGAGTGGTAGAGTCGATCTACAGCTATTCCTCGTAAATACGACCACATATTTCAATGCAGATGACCACATTTTCTAAGATCAGTGAAGCCCCACACCCATACAAATAAAGAGAAAATAGTAGATACAAAAAAGTTGCAAAGGAAGTCATATTAACCATGTGCACATGTGGTGAAAAGAATTATATCAAGACAATGGAATTCGTTTGGAAAAAGGCACACAGTTAGGCAGGCAAACTATTAATTCACGGTTAATTTTATGATATAAGACGATTTCAGCAAGAATACTCACTGGTAAAAGCCAAAATAATCCCTATTTTCAGAATCCTTGATATCCGGGTCATCGGATATATCGACAGGATTCTCAGACGCCTTAGGATTAAGATATTTGGAAATAATATCCGCATTCGCTGGGTCTACATTATTTTCCAACATTTCGAAAATCACATATCATTGTAATGATGAAAGCGAACAACAACAAACACAAACTGTAACGAATATGTTTATAATAGTGCTAAGGTTCAATACCCAATATCCAATATCCTGATTACGAGCTAGTAAAAATCAGTGATTTCTTTTAGCTCGCTTCTTGGTTGTAAGGTAGAGGTTCCAGATCTTAGGTGAACTTATGTGTAGTAAATCCTGCCACTCGACTGCTTTAGCTCTGGTAGACTCCAAGAGGAGTGGTGCGAGGATTGGTCAAGATGTGGTTTGTAGTATGCAGTATGTTAGGACTCAGTTGCTGCCATGAATGGAGTTTGACCTAACACCCGTTGGTCATTCAGTGTAGTCATAAAAGTAGAATAATAATAGGTTGTAGTGTAGATGAAGATGACGCAGCAAGTGCCATCATGAATGTTACCACACCGGTGGTTACTATCCCAGTTACCCCGGAAGTAAAGCCTACTAGGCGTCCGAAGCGTCTTAGTAAGCGAAAAGGTAACAAAACGGAAGCTGCAAACAACATCTCAGCACCAGAGAACACTGTAAACGAAGTTCACCATGAAGGTAGTGCAGACATTGATCTCGATTATACCATCAAAAACTGCAGCAACCCTGAGAAGCAACTTCAGACAGATTATCAGTGGGTAACAAAAATAAGCAATCGGAAGAAACATAGTAATATTGATGGTGTGCAAACGTCTGTCATCTGTAGTCAGGCTGCATCAATAGTGGTGAGAAAAGACGTAGCCACTGCTAAACACGACAAGCTCTCCTTAGACTCTAACATAATTGTTGGAAATTTAGAAGAGTCCAAAGAATCTGATCCCGTAAAAAGGCACGATCACGACCTTAAATTAGTGAGTAGTATTATAAGGAAGATGCTCCCAGCGAATTTCCCTGGAGTATCGATTAAAAAGCTGATTAGAATAGGTAAAAGAGATGATGAATGTTCTAATCAGCGTAGATTGCTTAAAGTAGTCTTAGGTTCTCCTGATGAACGGAATCATCTACTGGCTAATGTACACAACCTCGCCGAGTCAGGAATTTCAGTCAGACCTGATTTATCTCTGGAAGACAGACTTAAACGAAAAGAAGTTTTGTCCCAGCTAGAAACAAGACGTAAAAATGGTGGGACTAACCTTAAACTGGTGGGTTTCCAAATAGTCAGTTCTTGGAAACGTATGCGTCCAAGACCTGTGTGGATAAGCCGGACCGCATAGGAAGCCTGAAGGTAGTGTACACTAATATACGTAGTATCGGGAACAAATTTCATGAACTAGGTGTATTGGTGGAAGACCTTAGCCCAAGTATTGTGGCCATTACTGAAACATGGCTGGTTTCTGGATTAGATGACACACCTGAGCTATGCGGATTTGGTTGCTTGCGCAGCGACAGGGTTAAGGGTCGTAGAGGTGGCGGGGTTGCTCTGTACATCAACAACTCCCTACATGTTCGTTCCGTGAAATCTGAAGCGCATGACAGTGGGACAAGTGAGGTAATTAGCAGTGAAGTAAGCTTTGCAACTGGCACTTTACTCATTGGTGTTCTGTATAGAAGTCCCTTTTGTCAGTGTGATGACTTTATTTTAGATCACCTCAAACAATAGAGTAAACACAGTAGCTGTCTTATTCTAGGTGACTTTAATGCACCTCATATAGACTGGGTAGCTGTCACATCTTCAGGATCCGCTAATAAGTTTGACAACCGGTTACTCTTGACTACCATGGAAAATGCCCTGACACAACATGTCTTAGGTAGTACAAGATTTGGTTCTACCCAAGGATCTTCCTTGCTGGACTTAGTGCTTACTCATGACAACGACAATGTGGATGGTCTAGTTATTCATCCACCTCTAGCAAACAGTGATCATGGGGTGTTGGATTTTAACTTAAGGGTTGGCAATTTAGTCAGTTATCAACCCAAATCCCGACCTAGTGTTTGGCATGCTGACATGGTCGCTGTAAAGGAGCGTGCTTGAACTACCGACTGGTCAGTCAATATTGTCTCATCCATTGAAGATGAATGGGATATATTTAAGAATACACTTGAGAGGGTTACCACTGATTTCATTCCCTGGAGGGTTCCTAAAAGACCAACAAACCGGCCACCATGGATAAATAGACAAGCTATAACACTCCTAAGACGGAGAAAAAGGTTCTGGAATCTCTTTGTTTCTACTGGGCTACAGCAGTTCCGGCTGAAATACTGTGAAACCAGAAACCACTGTAAAACTTTGATTCACCAGTCAAGGATAGCTTACGAAACCCAGTTAGTTAAAAGTTCACCAGGCTGCCCGAAAAGACTCTTCTCATATATCAAGAGAAGAACACGTAAGAGTGATGCTATCCCACCTCTTATGCTTGAAGATGACCAGACAAACATGCCTGAGGATAACTTGACTAAGGCTGAGGCTTTGTCCAAGCACTTTAGTCAAGTATTCTCTGATAATATTGATACCAGCTTTGTAACTTTTCCAGAAGGTAACTTGAAAATGGCACCCTTATACATTGGAAAGGACACTGTCCTAAAGTGGCTTCTAAAGCTCAATCCTGGTAAGTCCAGTGGCTCTGATGAACTCCACCCACGTATATTAACAGCGTTGGCTGAAAACATAGCCGACCCATTGTCGGTAATCTTCAATATATCTCTTGACCAGTCTAAATGTCCAAGAGACTGGAAAGATGCCAACATTAGTCCGGTCTTCAAAACTGGATCCAGAAATTTAGTTCAGAACTATCGTCCTGTTAGTTTGACCAGTATTGTTGTTAAACTACTAGAAAGAACAATTCGTGATGCTATCATTCAGTTCATTGAAGGGAACAAACTTTTCTCTGTGGAACAGTATGATTTTAGATCAGGTCATCCTTGCTTGACCAACCTTCTTTTGGACAGAGAAGGTTGGGCAAGTTCAGCTGATTCTAATATACCGGTGGATACCATATACATCGACCTTAGCAAGGCGTTTGACAGGGATTCTCATTCAGGTCTTCTAGTAAAGTTAGATAGTATGGGAATCAATAAAGTGGTTGCCGAAGGGATTCAAGACTTTCTAAAGGATACAAGAAAATTCCATATTAGTTTGTTTATTTGATATATCACACAGTGAAACAGTATTATTTACTGGATGACGTTTCGAACAAAATTTATTGTTCATAATCATATCAATTATAATCACACGACTTTGACACTTGAGTTTTATAGTTTTCTTTGTTCTCTCCTATTTGTCGTTTGGGTAGTAGAATTTTCCAGATATAGGGGACAGGTGATGAATCATTCCTATTACATGTATTTGTAGTTGATTCAATAAACAAAGCTTCTGTTATCAATCTCTCCCTATACCCTGTGACATTAGATTTTAAAACTGTCATCCTATCCCATCCTATTGTGTGGTTGTGTGTAACTGCATGTAGTGCTATAGCTGAACTATTCTCTAGATTTCTTATCTTATTCGGGTCAACCAATCGAGATTTTGCTAGGTTTTTATGTTCAGCTAGTCTGACTGCCCCTGTTCTACTAGTTTGACCTATGTATTTGACCTGACAATCATTACAGGGTATGAGATAAACTAAATTGTTTTGTTTTAAGGGCTCTACAGGATCCTTTAACCGACAAAGCTTGTTTCTAATTGAGTTTGTGGGTTTGAATGCCATTTTTATTCCTGCCTTGTTAAGAATTCTGCGTAAGGCTTCCGAGGTTCCTTCCTTGTATGGAATTACTACTGATGATTTAGATTTCTTATTATTGGTGTCGTCATTAATATTATTATTATCACTATTATTATTAACATTATTATTATTATCACTATCGCCACTATCATTATTTATTTTATTTTTACATTTCCTTACATATTTCTTGATTAATTTATCCGGGTAATTATTAAGTTTCAAAGCTTCTTTTATGTGTATCAGTTCCTGTTTTAGATTTTCTTTGGTACTACTTAGTTTTTGTGCTCTGTCATTTAAACATTTCACCAATCCTATTTTTACTGACATAGGATGGGACGATCGGAAGTCTAAATATCTGTTTGAGTGTGTGGGTTTCCTGTAAACACTAGTGTTTAACTTCCCATCTTCTTTCCTCTTTACATTGCAATCTAACATTGGGAGCTCCCCTTCCTGATTTTCCAATTCATAAGTGAATTGAATTGCTTCAACCTTCGAGTTGATGTGTTCGAAAAACCTATCTATATCTTGTGTTCTAAGTACAGTGAATGTGTCATCGACATACCTCCACCATACTTTTGGGGTGGGGGTGAACGTTTCAATCGCTATGTTTTCCCACTTATCCATGAATATATCTGCTACAACTGGGGATATTGGTGATCCCATGGCAACTCCTTCAGTTTGTTTGTATATTTTCCCTTGAAATTTAAATACTGTGGAAGTCAGACATAGCTGTACTCCCAGCATTATGTCCTCAAGTGGCACTTTTGTCCTAAGTTCGAGTTCTTGGTCAGAAATGAGTTCGTTTCTGACTGCCTCCATAGCCATATTTATTGGTATACGTGTGTATAAACTGACAATGTCAAAACTAACCATTTTCTCTTCATTATCTAATTTTAAATTATCTAATCTATGTTTCAGTTCATAAGAATTTGTTAGTCTAGATTTTGAGTATCTTTTAAGGGGATTTAATACCATGGCTAAATATTTAGATAATTCATATGTAGGTGAATTTCTAAAATCAACTATAGGCCTAATAGGGTATCCTGACTTATGAACTTTAACAACACCATACATCCTACTGGGGTTTTTAGTTTTTTACACATATATTGATATGACTTATGGTCTTCCTGCACGAAGACTTATCAATAAACTCACTCGACTTTCACAAACTGAAGCAAGATTTGAAAATCATCGTATTTTCAACATTCGATGCCTAAGAAATGAAATCATTCCTAGATATCTACGTCTACGAGCTCCAGTTCCAACGGACAGAGTTAGAGGCAGAATACAAGGTCTACAAAAATTATGCCTGAAAGAAGAGATCCA